GAGACGGTTGTGTTATATGTGCTCTGTCATTTAATAACATAGTTGTGAATTAAAAATACTTTTAAAATCTATCTTTGTCACCATCAGATGTTATTATACCATATCATATTTTTACTATGTGTCATTTAATTTTTCTTATTTCAGTTGAACACTTTATTTACTTTTGGAAGAACAATGTGGTAACAAAGAATGGAGGTAAAAATCTATAGTAATTACATTATCTCAACACTTAGTTGAGTAATTAAATCATCTCATTCCTTAGCTTTGTGATCCTAGACAATCTGTGCATCAATTCGCTTAACTACAAAATAAAAATAAAATGATTTTGTCCCCCAAACTATTATGCTGTTGCAAAGAAAAGATGAGAATTTAAAAATATAAATGATTAAGAATATAAATAATAGTTAATTTCTTTCCATCATGCTCTGGATCTAAAAATGGCAATTTCTGAAATACGTAGAAGGGAGAAATAACTTCTTGAGTGGATCAAGTTTACCTAAGAATTAATGCAGTATTCACCAGATGAAATATCCTTCTTTGCTTTGCCACTACAGGACAAAGTCTCACTATGTAGATGCATGCTTGAAGAACTGCAGCAGGTATCTCCTATACTGGACAATTTTAAGTGGAAGGGTGTCAAGAAAAAATATTTTACTAACTCAAAGAGTCACATACACACCTGCACTATTTAGATGAGTGTTTCATATGGGAATTTCACCCGAGACCAATGGGGCAAAAACTGAAAGGTCAACCCTCCTTCTTCCCCTCAAAAAAAGATGGAGCTGTAAAGTAGCATATAAATTCTCAACTCTAAAAACTGTATTCTGACCAAGAACATCCAAAATATTTACTATCACAAGTCAAAAGAATTAAGTAGACTATAATACTTGGTTTTGAAAATTGTATCCCTGCTTAATAATTATTTGAAATAATTGTCAGATTTAGAGTCCCTAAATAGTGTCTTTTTTCTACTGTAGTTGCATTACATCTTTCTGTGTGTGACCACAGCAGGGATATGATAATGCCTTTTAGTCTGTTGGTAGTCCTAAGTTTCCTACAGTATCATCCACCAATCTATAAACCTCCCTTACAGCTCTATCATGATTGATATTATAGTAAAATTTCTACAACAAGAGGTTAATCATGAGCTAGAAGATAAAGAAATAAAAACAGCAGCAAAAGCACTTCCCCTCAAAGATGGTATAAAACAGTTTTTAATCATATTTTTAAACATACATGTAAACACAAGCAAGCTGAATATTCTGAAATGTTACTGCCATTGTACAATGTAATCTATAAAATGTTAGAACTGGTCCTGGTGGCTCAGGCTGTAATAACAGCATTTGGGAGGCTGAGACAGTGGACTGCCATAAGTTCAATTGAAGCCTGGGCTTCACAGTGAGCTCCAGGCCAGTTTGAGCTACATAATAAACCTTGTTTATTCACACACACACACACACACACACACACACACACACACACGCACACCCTCCCCATTATAAAATGTTAATCTGTCCATGTGTTAAGTGTACTGAATTGCTCGCTTTTGAAGAACATCCAGCAGCATTTTTGACATGCTTTCCTGTTAAATTCTAGCATGCACAATACAGGCCTTCAAAATTGCACAGACTTGTGTCATCACAAAGATTATGTTAGAGTGCAAATATGATTGTGTGCATCACAACAGAACTGAATATCCTTGGACTGCACTGCTGCAACAGTTTCATGATGCTGTGTTATGGGTGCAAAGGCTCATTGGGTACTACAAAAGCAAACCTCTGAATGATTTTACCTTAAATATTTATTAGGATATTAATCACTTTTGCTCCATACCTGACTTCAGAATTTAGGCTGCATCACTGTGGATGGACAGTTGTTCAAATATCTATCATCTAATAAAACTAATCACCCACGATGAAGACTGTTTTGTACACTGCTTTAGAATTATTATGCTATGTGAACTCTCTTGTGTAAAATATACAATATAATACCTTAAAAGAACAAACATTTTGGGAAACAGGATTAAAAGTTTTGTTCCTTTCTCATGTATTATATTAAAATTTTAGAAATGGTTCCTTGAAATAACAACACAGGAGAAAACAGCATTTGCTATTTCATAATTTTAAAAATTCCATCCAAGTAGACAACTATGAAAACAAATGTTTGTTAAAAACTAAAGAATTTTGAAAACAGCAAAATAACTGATACGAAGTGAAATTAAGAGAAAGGGAAGGAAACAATGAGGGGAAGAGTGCTCTTACTCACTCTGATATACAATTGCATCATTTCTTTTTCTCTTTGGGGGTTGCGATACTTCTCATAGAAATCCCGTCGCTTCTTTGTTTCTTTAGAGACTTTATCTTTTCTTTCCCGCTTTTCTGCTGGCTCATCTGAGCTATCAGAAGATGACTGAATGTGCATTTTTGGCTTTTCTACTTCAATATAGTTTTCATTGGGATTCAGCACTATCACTCCATAACCCTCCTGTTTTGAAATGAAAGAAGGTCGTATGATTAGTGTCAGAGTCCACTTCAGTTCATGAAGATGTTTTGGACATCTTCGGCAAAACAATTTAATGGAATTGAAAGTTAACTAAAATACTATTCTAGAAAAGACTGTGGATTAAATTTTGAAAATAAATAGAATCTAAAACTATTATGCATGTAAGCAAGCACGTATTATCTTTAAGAAAAAAAATATATGGGTATGACTGCCATGGATAAAAAGAACAAACCTAAAATTAAAAACCATGATTCATTAGGAACATGATTAAAATAAGTTATCAAACAAGTATGAGTTCAAACCATATTAATGTTCACAGCATATATTTTGAGAAAACAATCCCATTGAAATTGAAGTTTACAATTCAAGATAGAGTTTTAGGATTTTTTTCTTTATAATTTCCCTGTAGTGTTTTTATTTGCTTGAATTATATGAAAGAAGTCAGTTAAAAAGAAATAAATCTGATCTAATAGTTTCCAAATTTACATATTTACAATATCAGAAACAAATTATATCTACCTGTGCACCTTGGAACTTATTCAGCTCTTTCTATTCAGGAAATCTAAAAAATCACAGAGCAAAATAAACCAAGTGGGGGATGTGCAGAAACAACTGCTGTATCTTGCAAATTGCTTCATGTTTCAAATTACCACAACAAATTATCTTCAAGTACTAATACTATGAAACTACAAGTTCTAAATTTTTTAACTATCAAGGCTTCAAGTTTTTAAAACATTTATTTTCCTGACTGATTTATTTCTGACAAGGCAAACATTTCTATGACTACGATTAAGAAAATCTTTGATATTTATAAGGGATGGGCTAACTTCCCTAGTCATTAGTGAGCAGAGAACAGGCAATAACCACTGACAAGCTTGAGGAACAGAAATTTCCATGTTCTTACATATTTATCTCTTCAGTTCTATTGTGAGTGTTCCAATTGCCCTTGTAAAATCTTCGAAGGCCATCCTTAGAGATGTAATATATTATCACAAAAACATAGAGTCTGTATAAAATCTTCATCCTTATTAAAATGTATGCTGTTCTTTTAAAACTATAACCATAGAATTTTCCAACTGAAGTTCAGATATCAACTTTTTTTAAAAAAAGGAAACCAACAATAAGAATGATAGTTTTAAAAAAAACATAATTGTAGTAGTTTAAAAATATCAGTATTATTCCAGACTCAATTGTCTTATTTTAAAATACGTAGCATTGTGATAAGTGAAGTTTCTTGTTTGTTTTTGTTTTGATGGTTAATTTCTTAAAAACATTACTGAGATTCTTTCCATTTTTATCTCTAATAAGATGATATTACTGCATAAATCACTACTGTTGGAAATTTCAAGATCACTGAAGTTCTGATTTTGTGATAGGACTATTAATTAAGACATAATCCTTTAATACATGTGAAAACTACATAATAATATATGCCAAAGCAATTAATAAAATACCACCCATTCTTCCATATATGTTCCAATACAACTTTTCGATAAATTCCTCTTATGAAGACCTTATAAACTACAGTTTTAAAATTTAAACATTATACCTCAAAGTAAGAGAGAAGTTGATTTTTTTTTAATTGGTTAGTTGTCGAGTCAAAAGTTTTACCAACAAAAGATATTTTATTTGGTCCCGCTTTATTCTAATCTGTATAGCTATTCAAAAGTCTTGTAATTCATTGTGATCACTGTCAGGTAGACAGATTGTCACTTGGTGATTTTCTACAGTTGGACACACTTGACTAATTATTAAAATCACATTTAAAGGAAGTTCCTAACCCTCTTCGTCGTGCCTCTTACTACTTTTCACGCCCTTCTCAAATTTCAGCTATAACTTCTCCTCCCACCCAAAGTAAGTTAAAGAACACTGCTACACTCTGCTACACAGGGTGAAATAGGGACTTTCAGTGCACTGTCTTTCGTATAAGGAACATAGTCAAAAAAAGGTCACTATAGGCCACAAAGAAAATTGCCTCCTCACTAGGTTTTGCACCATGAGTAAGTGGTCTCCTGTCATGTTTCTCCCCACTATCACTGATGACTTACACACACACACACACACACACACACACACTTCTCATACTCACAAGTTAGCTAGAAAGCCTAAATAGAACCTTTAAATTCTTAAGACTTGCAAAAAGTTGTATACAGCAATGTAATGCTAATATGAAAAAGTCCAAACTCTAGACAACCAAGTGACACTTTAATTAATGGACATAAGGTGAGCACTATCACTGATGACTTCTAAATGGAGGACAACTCTTTGAGCAAAGATTATGGTACCCGAATTACCAACTCAATGTATAACTCATTAGAAAAAAACATACTTTCATACTAACAGACTTATATGAGCACTTTTTATCTCATTTTTGGAAACCTAATTGAAAAAAACTTGTTCCTAGATGATTTTAAATAGATTCTGAAATTTAATGTGTCCCATCTAAATAAGCATACACTAGACAAACATAAATCATTAAAGTAGTATTTGTCTGGGTTATTGATTATGTAACTGAAAATTACATGACTCATTTATTCAATTTTCTAAAGGCACAATGTCAATTTCTCACTGAAGCATCAACAGAAGAAAAATCGTTCTATTTTTAAATCACCACAACATAAATCAAAGAATTTTTATCATTTGGATTTCAACAATGAATGCTGAAAACCATAAATTAATATCTTTTACCCAAATTACTTAGAAAATATTTTATCCTTTAGATGTTTTAAACTCCCAATTTAATTTTTAAAAATGATGAAGAAATATCCAGGAAAGTTTTCTGCAAAAATGAGGGATGCGTCTTATAAATGTCTTTTGAAAATACAATTACAATTCTGTTAACAAAACCCTAGCACTCTGAATTCTAATACTTTATTATAAGCTAATTGAGCTGCTATTCACATAGATAAATTATAACAATTTTATAAAAAGTAGAAGAAAGCCAGTAAAGAAACTATTCTACCTATATTTCTAACACACACAGCGCCAAACTTCTCCTTTTTCTTCTTTTATTCAGTTATATATAGCAATGTCAAAAATCCCTTTACATAAGACACAAAGATTTTGGCAATGTCAGCATTACTATATGACAATGAAGGAGTAAAAAAAAAAATAAAGCGAAACTAAGCAGAGACAAAAATATAGCAGTTCAATTGTCTTGAGTAGAACTTACAACTTCAAAAATTAGAAAACAATTTTAAAACTAATTCTATTTTCAATAATTCAATAACACAGAGCAAAAGGGTACTAGTATAACCTTTCATGAAAGTAAGATTTTATGAAACTACAATTTAAAATCAGACATCAAGTATAACAAAGAATTATGTATTGCTACTCTTAACAAGGAAACAGCTATAACATCAGCTTAGAGTCTTAAACATTGCATTGAAGCTTTATTTACATATTTACTTGTTCCTTAAGTATGTGAAAATCCCATAGGATGAAAAGTTGGGAGCATAGCAAATATACCTAGAAACCTCTTCTGTAACTTTTAACACAATCAAATGATCGAACTGGTTATCTAACAGTGTATAACTACATACAATTTAAAGCATGTTTGATAATGATTTACTCAAATCACTTCCAATATGCAACATTTTAGGCAATAAAGCATACATAAAGTTGGTAATTAACTCTTAGGTTTGATTGGGTAATCTAGCACATGGAGAAGGTGTTCAAGAAGACAGATGTGGTTAAGGAAAGGTTTAATGCATCAGACTCCATTTCTATGATTGTGTAACTATAGCGGTTTCATTTTTAGAACAGTGCTTATGAGGTCTAAAGTAAAGAATCTAAATCTGATACCCTCAAAAGTTTACTGCTATGATATGGTATTTTGTTTAGCACAACTATTTGCTGTGATTTCCATAAAATACACAGGACTCTGGTCCTACTTTACTCTGAAGGCTATACATGCACTTACTGATAAATAATAGCTAATTTATCATTCAATCGGCAGATGCTGGTTTAGGTCCAAGAGGTCTAAAACAGACAGGTGATGCCCAACACAAGGAACCGAACATGACACTTTGCAAGAGAAATTAAATCAGCATAGAAACATAGAAATATACTTATCAAGAAGAATCTTCAGATAAAAATCTAAACACAACTGACGAAACCCAGATTACTTATGATCCCAAATAAAACTGTATAAAAACTAAAGATTTATTAAAGCTTGTGCACTAATTACCAGCTATGAAGAGAATAGAAAATGGGCGGGGGAGATTCTACAGTTTTTAAAATCTCTTGTGAATGTCTTAAATTAAAAATCAGCTGAAAGTACTCAGCCCTGCATATTAACTTGCCAATACTGGAAGTCACATGTGACCAGAGAGGTCAAGGGCCACACTAGAGTCTTTTGACCCACGGAACTATCCATTTTGGTCTCCAGGCAAAGCTCTGCAAGAGATCATTTTCCATAGATTTATCAATCAGATTCTTCAAGTTCAGCATTCTACCTGCTTCACTTGAAAGAAGACAGCTGTTCCTCCTCAAGGGAAATGAAACTCCACGTGTCTTATCTACACACTACATATACCCATGGCTACAATGGACAAACAAGTGTTCATTTCTCTTTTCTGAAAGAGTTATGTTTATTATCATCTTCACAAGAAGGGGATGCATATGTCACTGTTGCAACATCCTAGGTGCAACAGTGAGATGAGGTCATGACAACCAATAAGAAGTCACTAGTGAAGCGTTAAAGTAAACATAGCTGTTGGAGCTACAGCTCTGCTTGAAAAATGCCCCCTCCATTATTTCAGCAATTTTCTCAAGACGTGACCTGGGAAAGAAGTGTCTGAAATGTCACTTGACTTCATTTTATGCTTCTTTTCAACATGCAGTAAGGTAAATGTGCTCTCCTAATATTCTAAATATTCATCCAGACCACACTTCAAGCCACAGTTGCAAAATTCTAATGCTGTGCTCATGGTATAAAATATAAGTTATATGGACCAACAGAGTATCCTAGTTAACTCTCC